ATGAAGGGGACGTGAGTTGTCAAAATGGATCTGCAAAAAGATGTGCCTTTTTATTTGGTTTCTTCTTCTCTTTCATCTTCCTCCATTGATTTTGCTGCATGTCCTTTATTCATCTTCAACCTCACCCTTCTCTCTTCTTTTTCATGTGGATATGTCTTAGTTTCAACTCCATGCAAGCTGGAAAATCCATACATCAAAATATCTTATTAATTTAATCCAATCAATTTAATATCTACGCGGGTTTCTTTGTCCTTTTTTTTTTTTTTTTTTTTTTTTTAATTAAAGAAAAAATATTGATGATCAGACAGGACATATGAGGACTTATGCGTCACGTACACATATAGCTAGCAGGTGTATAGATATAGGAGATGTTTTGTAGGGCAGGTGTGTATATAATTAATTACATTAATGGAAACAACACAAGTTGCTGTTGGCCAACCCAGTCCCAGATGGATTAAGAAACTTTTGTCTTTGCTCTTCTGCATCCCACAATAGTCCGTTACCGTTGTCCTGAAATCAAAATAATATTACACGTCTTTACTTAATAATATATTCTCAATATAATTAATATAACATAATATATACATATATTATGATACGTATGTATATATGTATGTACCTGAGGATGAGGTCTGATTTGGGGTTGTTGAATGAAGAAAGCGGGTGAGGAGGCATCAAGAAGAGAATAGTTATTAGCTGGGGCAAAGTTGGTGGTGGTTGCATCGGCAAAAGCTGTAATCTGCGTGGGGCTGCATTCTTGTACACATCCCATTCTCTGAAAATAGTGATTCATCTCATCTTATCACATCTACGTATATAATATGTGTATATGCATATATATATATGTGTGTGTGTATCAACAGAGAAAATTTACCTCTGGTTTCACCATGAATGCATCTAGGTCCACTCCAAAGTCATAGAACACAGGATTCAGAGAAGCAAGTTTCATTGACAGAAACTGATCAATCATGAAAAGTATTTAGTAATTAATTTTAACATAAATATATTATAATGAAGGAAGATGGATACGTGAGTGGTACCTCTACTTGATTCTGTAGGGACTGAACATAATTTATTATTTCATCCAACATGAGGGCCTTCCCAGTTACCTATTCTCATTGCACAACCACATGAGTTGTCAGAATATATAGATATAGTTACATATATATGTATGCATGGATATTATTAATTAATCAATAACATCAATTTCGTAATGAAGAGAAGAGAAAAGAAGGAAAGCAAAGCATGTATAGATTATTAAGGAAGAAAAAACTAATTAGAAGGTGATGAAACTCTCACCTTGTCACATCCAGGAACAAGTTTCTGCAAAATCTTCATCCTCTCACTGATTTTTTCTCTTCTTACCTAAAATAACATTTGACAATATATAAGTACTCATATCTTATATATATATATATATATATATATATATATGATTAGTTTAGGGCAGGGTACCCTTTCTGCAAGACTGTGACTATCTGTTGCTTGGCCTCTTCTGGCCCTTACATGAATGTAGCCTGTTGGTGGTTGTTGATCAGCAACCTTTTTTTCACCTTTCCCTTCTTTTCTATCTTCTCCTCCATTACTCATGCATTTCTTTTGTCTCTTGCTCTTTCCTTCTCTACCCGTTTCCTGATTTAACCACAAACCCGTGCATGCATACTCAACTCTCTACTCACAATTTATAAATTAAACAACATACATATACATATACATATATATATATGTATATACAAAGAAGATGAATGAATGAAATTGTTGTAAGAGATTAAACAAACCTTGGAGTGATGACCAGAAGAAGTTAGTGTAGAGCCATTTCTGGTCTTTCTTTTCTTGTCGAGCACTGGAGCGAGGTTTTGGGTGACTTGATCTCCGTCCACGACAGTTGATGAGTCAGTGCTCTGCTTTTTAGTAACAGAGGGTTCATTATCGCTGAGAACAACGCAGCTGTTGTCGTAAATCACAGGAGTAGTGTCTTTCATGGAGTCTTGAGGAGGATCAAACTGAGAGAAACAGCTGCTGTGATCTTCATCCATTAAATTATTAGTATAAAGCTTCATGGAAGGAGGAGGAGGAGGAGGAGAAGAAGAACAAGTTGTGTTGGGCAAGCAGAGAAGAGAATCAAGAAGAAAGGGGTGGTGCAATTGGTACGGAAAGGAAGCCATTTCTGGAATTTGAGAAAATGACTATGGAATTAGAGAAAACCAGAAGTTGCAGTCGAGAAAAAAAGTTGGTGTGTGATGAAACTACCACGCCCATAACCTATATATATATATATATGATATACATATATAGAGCATCACCCAACACAGTAAACATTAATGAGATAAGACCAGTCAAATCTACAATAGAACCAATGTGATGTACATTTTCTCTCTCTAGGTAGCTAGGTACAAAAATATTAAAGTGTATAATAATGAAAGAAAAAGAATTGTTTATAGTATACAAAAAAATTGTCAGTGATTCAGAAATTCATATGGATTTGATAATAAAATAATAATTCATGAAAGTGATTTGGCACTCTTCTTTTTTTTTTTTCTTTTTTTTTTTTTTTTTTTTCTTCTTCTACTGCAAAGCTTATACCTTTCGAGCTGCTTTTCAATGTGGGTTGTTTTGCCTTTTGAACTTCGCAGTTAATTCAGCCTCTGCTGCCATTGGTTTCTGCTTATAACCAAAAGCAAAAAGTCTCTGCAAAAAGATTTTCAGCAAATTACTTTTTGGTTCATTTTACTGTTCATCAAAGTTTAATATTATATATATATATATAATAATTATTGAAAAACAAGAAAAAAAAAAAAAGAAAAATAAAAATGATTCTGTAAGCACTAGAAGATTTGAGCCTGGCCCAAGTAGATGATGATGATAATGATGATGATGAAAGACTAATCAGAGTTGAGGTTTGGGCCATGTTGATAAAGAAGATGATTACACAATACGTGTTAAATGATTATAAGCCTTACTGTAATGTCTTATCTAAAAAAGGAAATATCATCATTTCAATTCTCTAATACATTATATAACTCACTTGCATTTCCTATCAAGAAATCCAGTTACATCTTAAACTCAACTTAATCTTTCTCATTAACTTTAGAAATAGTTGATAATTTTATTTGTTTGTACAAGATTATAATTTCAAATCAGAGTTGTGTTTATAAATTGTTAGAAGATTAATGTGTTAAAATTTGTAGGTGTATATATCATTTTATTAATTAGATATTAGTACTTCTATTTAAAAAAGATTCTACATGTGAACTTTTAAAAAATAATTTTGAATAATTGTTCGTAAAATTTAATTATATATGTCATATTTTTTAATCTGTATGTTAATCTAAACTTGTTTAGCAATATATATAAATGTATACTAATCTAAACTTACTTTCTTAATGTTATGTTATGTTATTATCATTGAATTTAAATGGATAATAATAATAATAATAAAGAAAATAGTGTGGAGAAATCACTAGAAAGACGTATAGGACCAAAAATAAAGAGGGAAATGAAGTTTTAGCTAAGAGCAAGAAAAAGCAGTGACCCT